ATCAAGATAGACCAGTTTCTCAATCTTGATACTACTGACATTTTGAACCAGATAATTCTTTGTTATGGGGGCTACTATGTGTTGTAGGATGTTTAGCAGATCTCTGGCTCTACCTACCAGAAATCAGTAACATCAGAGAGGATTCCCTGAGTCCAGGAATTTGAAACCAGCCTGGGAACTTGGTAACAACTAAAACTGTCTCCAGACTTTGCTAAATGTCCCCTTGGGACAAAATTGTCTAGGCTGAGAACCACTGAGAAAGACAAACAGATCAACGGAAGAAAACAGAGAGCCCAAAAACTGACCCACATACAAATAATTCATGGATTTTTCAGCATAGGTATAAAAGCAGTTCAGCGGAGAAAGTACAGTCTTTTCAAAAAACAGTACTGGAACAATTGGATATTTATATGCATAAAAGGACTTCAGTACATACCTTGTATTAACTATATGTATAAAAATTAACTCAAAATGAATCACAGAGCTAAATGTAAAATCTAAAATAATAAAACTTCTAGATGAAAACAAAAGAGAAAATCTTTGTGAGCTTGGGTTAATCAAAGATCTCATGGCCAGGCACAGTGGCTCACACCTATAATCCCAGCACTTTGAGAGATCGAGGTAAGAGGATTACCTGAACCCACAGGTTCAAGTCCAGCCTGGGCAACTTGGTGAAACTTTATCTCTACAATATATCAAACAATTAGCCAGGTGTGGTAGCATGTACCTGTAGTTCCGGTTACTTGGAAGGCTGAGGTGGAAGGATAGTCTGAGCCCGGCAGGTCAAGGCTGCAGTGGCCATGAGCGTGCCACTGCACTCCAATCTGAGTGACAGAGAGAGACTCCAACTAAAAAAACCCAACCAACCAACCAACAAAAAAAGGATCTCTTAGATACAACACAAAAAGCATGACCCATAAAGGAAAAAAATAGTAAATTGGACTTCATCACAGTTAAGAATTTTTCTGTTCTTTGAAAGATGCTATTACAAGAGTGAAAAGATAAGCTACAGAGCAAGTGAAAATACTTGTAAATCACGTGTCTAATAATGAACTTGTATCTAGAATGCATTTTTTTTTTTTGAGTTGGAGGCTCCCGGCCACTGCAGCCTTGACCCACTGGGCTTCGGCGATCCTTCCACCTCAGCCTTCCAAGTAGCTGGAATTACAGGCATGCGCTACCATGCCCGGCTGATTTTTTGATTTATTGTAGAGATGAGGTCTCG